AAATTAGGTGTTCAACTTAATTTGCGCCCCTTCTGCTACCACCCAACTTTCGACCCTACCTTTTCACCCCCACCGAAGTACAGGGGTCTGTATAAAAAGGCAAACCCCCGAAGCAAGAGGCATTCCGACATTCCATCTACCCAGGCTAGGAAGAGGGAATCAAAACGTACCGACTAAACTTACTCATCCGCAGTAAGTCCAGATGAAAAGTGCTCTTGTTCCGCTCCTCCAAAAACCGTAAGTTTTACCCGTTACGTCACTATTGTGCTTAGTGGACTCGTTCATTTTAGTTGTAAGTATTTGTATATTCTTGTTTTATGGTATTTTGTTTTCTTGTCCGGTGTATTTGTTTTTTTTTTCTGTCAAGGGAGATTTGTTTGGTTGTAGTCGTATGTATATTTGTTTCAAGCCTTTGGCTAACATAAATTTGTAAATAATGTTTTTTTTTTGTTGTTTGTAAGTACTGTATATATTAAGTCTTAATTAATTTTTTTTTGTGTAAATATTGTGTTGTGTCGTTTTAACGCGAGGTGTATCACACTGAATTAATGGGCATTACTGAAAAGAGGACTACGCCCTTACATCCACAATCTGATGGAGTGGTTGAACGATTTAACGCTACTCTGGAGACCAATTTAAGAGGCATCGTCAATGAGCACCAAACTGACTGGGATTGACACATAAAGCTATTCTTCCTGGCCAATAGATCCATAAGACAAGTGTAAAAACACTGGCCATCATTTTATTTAAGAAAGAACTCAGGTTGCCAACGGACATGATGTTTGCTCGACCTGAAGACTCTTTACTAGCTATAGACGAATACGTCAGCGAACTATGAGAACGACTAGACCATCCATAGCGCTGTGCGTTAGAAGCTGTTATTTGAGAGTGTCTACTCTAAAACGCTAATCAGTATAAAATGTTGATTACTAATGAGTAATTATTGTTGAAAAGCCAAATTTATTTAAATTTTCCCCACCCTACTGTTTAATCATCTAATGCAAGGAGTAATGTGGACTAATGACGGGGCATAATTTGATTGGTCGCTAGTATGCATATAACGAGTATTGGAAATTTTTTTTAATACATTTTAATAGCACGATTGGATCATATATAATGCAGGAGACAGCAGTCCCAGATCTTAGGGGGGCATATTGTGGTAACCGCCCCGGGCGGTAATTTCTGGGGGCGCCAAAATCATATGGTTGAAAGTAAAAAAACCTGGTCCACAAACCTCAAACGCCTAATTGGTTTTTAAACATATCATTTTCAAGAACTTATTTGAAAAAAATTTCTTAAGCAGTTTTTTGAAGCGAAGCTTCAACAAACTAAAAATAATTAAAAACCTGTCTGCATTCAATAATGAGTCAGGAACGTTTATCTGTCCTCGCCATCCTAGCCATTGAAAATAAAACTGCCGTTGAGACGAACTTTGATGAGCTAATAGATACTTTCGAAGAAAAGAAAGCACGTCGTATATAGCTGCGCCAAAATTAGTGAGAAAAAAATGCTGAAACCCAAAGAAATGTAAATGTCTCGACTGTCTGTCGTCTTTCCTAGTTGTATGTTTCTTATATATAATTTTGGCACATAAATGAGAAAGTCATTGGGTGATGAATCATCATCATCATAAGGTCATCAGTCCTAAGACTGGTTGGACACGTACCTCCACTCTTTCTTATCCTGAGCCAAACATCGCATTTCCCTAAAACTAGAACAGCCCACATCCTTAACTATTTGCGAAGAGTAATCTAATGTAGGTCTACCTCTACCCTTCCTAACTCCTGTTTCTGCCTCTAATATGTCTCTGACTAGACCTTCATGCCTGAGAAGGTGTCCTACCAACCTATCTCGCCTATTTTTTATGGACTTCCATAGAGTCCTCTGTTCTCCTATTCTTTCCAATACCTCTTCATTTCTAACCTTTTATTCCCACGATATCCTCATCATACGCCTATAACACCACATTTCGAACGCTTCAAACTTTTTCTTTTCCGCCGCTCCCACTGTCCAAGTTTCGCACCCGTACAACGCCATGCTCCAAACATACACCTTTAACAACCTTTTTCGAATTTCTAAATTAACCGTTCGCGAGCATAGAAGTGCCTTTTTTTGTATTAAAGGCGACACGACCCTTCGCTATCCTCTGCTTTATATCCCTACTACTCCTTCCATCCTCACTCATCTGACTTCCTAGGTATCTAAAATCAGCCACTTCTTCTAATTTTTCGTCTCCTATCTTTATATTCGCTTTTCCCTACTTTTTCTTCCCTTGCATATCAGTATTTTAGTTTTACTTTTATTTATTTTCATACGGTACTGGTCTGTCAGTACCGCTTCCATTTTATTTAAAGCTATCTCTAGGTCCTCCTTGCTAGATGCTAATACTGCTATATCATCTGCAAATCTAAGCGTACTAAACTTTTGCCCTTGCACATCTATCCCTACAGTTGTACTGTCTTTAATGATGTTGATGGCGTCTTCGATGTATCGATTAAAAAGTAGCGGTGACAGTGTGCATCCCTTCCTGACTCCCTTCCTAATATTTACTTCTCTACGTTGCATCCCCAGCTCTATAACTGCCTGTTGTTCTTTATACAAACTAAGTATCACTCTTCTGTAACTCATCCCTACATTTTTAAGTATATTTAACATCTTGTCCCATTTAACATTGTCAAAGGCTTTTTTTAAATCTACAAATCCTATGTACACACTCTTTCCTTTTTCTATCGTTTACTCTATTGTTACCCGTAAAGCTAGAATGGCCTCCCGCGTTCCTCTATTTCTTCTGAACCCAAATTGATCTTCCCCTAATAGTTCTTCCTCCCTTTTTTCCATCCTCCTCTGTATAATTCTAGTTAAGATTTTTGATGCATGGGATGTTAAGCTAATTGTTCGAAATTTCTCGCACCTATCCGCGCCCCTCTTCTTAGGTAATGTTACTACCACGTTCCGTTTATAATCCTCTGGGACTTTCTCCGTTTCGTAAATGTGAGTAAATAACTTAAACATACGATCTCTAACCTCTTGTCCTGCATGTTTTAGAATTTCCCCCTGTATCCCATCTACACCTGGCGCCTTATTATTCTTTAAATTTTTTAATGCTACATCGAACTCTTCTCTCATGATGGGATAACCAAGCTCATCTATTTCCACACTATCTTCCTTCTGTAATATATCTCCTAATTCAGGGCCTGCGTAAAGGTTCTCTAAATATTCTTTCCACCTATCTGCCTTTACCTCATTTTCTATCAACATGACCCCTGCCTCGTTTCTTATATTTTTACTACTGTATCTACATCTCTAAAATTCCTTTTAATTATATTATAAGCCTCATCAATTTTACCTACTTTAAACTTTTCTTCTACTTCTTTACACATCCTATCAATCCACCGTTCCTTAGCTGCCCTACACTTCCTAATTATTTCCCACTTTATAACTTTATATCTTTTTTGCCCTTCTTCGTCTGTCCTGTTTTTGTATTTCCGCCTTTCGTCTATTAATCCTACAATCTCATTTGTTATCCAGGGTTTCCTACTTTCACTTTGTTTAAGACCTAGTACTTCTGTAGCTGCTGACTTTAGACACGTTTTAATGCAGTTCCATTCTGTCTCTATGTCCCCGTCATTCGTTTCTCCAGCCGCCATAAGTATTTCGTCTGTCATTTTACCCAGCCTATCACGCGCTTCGTTACATTTTAGCTTTTCTAAGTCGTTACTTCTCCTACCTTCCCTCTTTTTCAGAATTTTGAATTTAAGATTGGTCTTCATAACTACTAAATTATGACCGCTATCTATATCTGCTAATGGATAACTCCTACAGTCCTTCACTTGATTTTTAAATCTTTATCTAATAAGTATGTAATCTAACTGATATCTCCCTAAATCACCTGGCATCTTCCACGTATAGCGCCTCCTAACGTGATGGTTGAATAAAGTATTCGCGACGGTTAAGTTATGTTTATCGCAAAATTCTATCAGCCTATCTCCCCTAGTATTTCTATTGCCTAATCCAAAAGAACCTGCTATTGCACCCACTTTACCTTCACCTATTACTGCGTTGAAATCTAAAACTATTAGGTTGTCCTGTCCTTTCACTAAACTTAACACGTCTTCTATATCTGCATAAACTGCTTCTACGTCTTCATCACTGTAAGATGATGTAGGCATGTAGACCTGCACTAATACCGTTCTTACCGGCTTTGAGTTTAATTTAACCATAACTATCCTATCTCTTTTTTGTAAATAACTTTCTACACTCTGCCCTACTTTCCTACGCATTACAATTCCTACACCTGAATTACCTTCTACCGATCCTGTATGTATTACTCTAAAGTCTCCACTCCAGAAGTCTCCAGCTTCGGGCCAACGGACTTCACTAATACCTACTATATCTAATTCTAATCTATCCATCTCTATTTTTAAATTTTCTAATTTCCCTACCTGCCTCATTGACCTAATATTCCACGCTCTGACTCGTGAAACATTGCACCTATCCCTATTGCACTTATTGATGACATCCCCCGAGGTAGTCCCCGCCCGGACATCCGAATGGGGGACTAGTTTACGTCCGGAGTGCTTTACCCCAGAGGACGCCATCATTTAATTTCAGTAGTTGAAAGTTTCACTCGGGATCATAATGTGGTGGTTTCCCGTTGCCTTCCACATCGCAGTATTGTGCATCAGAGTGCCATACCGATCCTCGTGATCTCTGCAACCCTGGTACTGAAAGAACTGCTGCCCTCTTTCAGGGATTTGTCTTAGTGTGGTTTCTCTTTAAGAACCCCTCCATTATGGTTGAACGTATGGTCCGTCTCCCTAAATCATCGAAACTCGCAAGCCGATCCACCCACTCTAGTTTGTACCAGAGTTTCGTCCAAGGTTCAAGTCCCGTCGGATAGGAGGTGATAAATAATGAAAGTAAATTTATTAAAAAATTATTATTATCCCATTCACGAAAAATGCCAACTATTATATACCATTTGTGAGTTTTTTATCAAATTTATCTGAAACGATTGAAAAAGGGGGCGCCACTATCATATTTCAGCCATATTTCTGCCCAGTTTGAAAAAAATCGTAGATTCGGGGCTGGGAGACACTTCCCTTTATTAAATCGCCTGTCTTTGCTCTTTTTAAAAATTAATGAAGCTATTTTAAAATTTCGGCTATGGATTCTGATACTGAAAAAGTTGAAAGTTATGGGGATCCTATTTCAAGTATTGTAACTCAACAGGAAAATTTGCTAGATGAATGGTATTTGAAAGCAGAGAAATATTGGTCTGAAATTCCTGCAACAGTTGATGGTGTTTTGGGTGGTTTTGGTTTTATTTCTCAAATCGACATTCATGAGTCGAAAAAGTTCCTTCAACAAATTCTTAAAATGAAAAATGCTCCAAAGACGGAACATGCATTAGACTGTGGTGCTGGCATTGGTAGAATAACAAAATGTCTTTTAAGTCATGTCTTTGAAAAAGTGGATTTAGTTGAACAAAACCCTCAATTTTTGGAGGCATTTAAAAATAATATAGAGCCAGAGATATCTCTAAAAATTGAAAACATTTTCTGTTGCGGGCTACAAAATTTTACACCAAAAGAAGAGTTTTATGATGTTATATGGATTCAATGGGTTTTAGGACATTTAACAGACACACACTTTGTTAAGTTTTTAACTGATTGCAGGTACGTTAATATTTCCTTTATAGTAATAAATATATAATGTTTCCTTTTGTAGCAAAGGTCTTAAAAGTAATGGTGTTATTATTATTAAAGAAAATGTGACATCTTCAGGTGATGTCGAGATAGACAGTGAAGAATCTTCAGTAACTCGACCACTATCAGTATTAAAGGACCTGTTTTCTAAAGCAGGCCTTAACTGCATAGTATCATGTAAACAAAAAAATTTTCCAAAAGGACTTTACAGTGTTTACATGTTTGCCCTAAAATATATTTATTAAATAATGATAATACTAAATAAATTATTACTTCTAAAAATAAAATTGAAGGATGGTTCAAATAAGGCCTATTTTCTACATACAAAAGACCTGAAAAAAAGCACCCAAAGATCGGACTGGTTAGCTGATATTGACAAAATACTGCACTAAAAGTTATTGTAATTTTTTGTAATTCATTTAGAAGTGAATGGTATTTGATTTTTAGTGTTCCTTAGTCGAAGATTAATTAATAAGTGAGTGTGAATACCTATTAAAAAAAGCATAATGTTAAACGACTTTTTAGAGGGAATAGACTGATATTCCAAATTACACTCAATTATTTGTTTGGTGGTTTAGCAGTCAATTATTTAATCAGAGATAACAGAGACCCAAAGGGTGCTCTATACCATAAACAAGAGGTTTATAGAAGTCCTGATTTTTGTGACAATCAGCGCCATCTCTGGACCTTTGTCTGAAAAAGGCGTGAAATTCAAATACGTTTAAGTTTCGCGTCTGGTTTTAAGTTTTTTTGACTAAAAAAAATTATAATTTGACATGCAAAAACCCATTTTCAACAAGAAGATAGTTTGTTTATTATTGAAAATGTAAAACAACAACTTCATCAAAATAATAATGAGAAAAAATAGTAAAAAACTGATTGAAGATTATTAAAAAAATATTTTTATTGAATAAACATGTGTAATTCTTAAAGTAGTAATAGGTAACAACTGCAAAACAAAAAGGGTTTTGAAGTGGAAGCAGTGTTGCTCACCACACAGGCCTAGCAAAGTGTGGAAAAATTAATATTCATCAAAAGAGGCTCAGGAAAGCGTTTCGTTAATTTTGTAGGTCTAGGAAAACGTGGAATAAGTGTTGTTCATCAAAAAGTAAGGAAAGTGTCTGGTGGGTTTTATAGGCAACGTTGAATATGTAACAATTGAAAAACAAAAAGGATTTTCAAGTAGAAGTAGTGTTGTCCACCACAAAGGCTTAGGAAAACAAGGGAAAACTGTTGTCCATCAAAATAGTCTGAAGATAATGTTTGGTAAGTTTTGTAGACAAGAGGAGATATGGAACAATTGAAATAGGTAAATCTTAGTTAAAAATTCATTCATAATAACCCGCATTCAAGAAGGCACGCCAGAAAATTTTAGCGAAAATTGGGAAGACTGAAACATACCAAAATAAGTAAAAAAAATCTCGTTAAAATTAAAAGTTTTAGTAGTTACTTAAGTACTTTTAATTTACAAATATAGAGATTTGACTACCTAAGCAGGTGACTGAAAATATCATTGGCGTAGTTTATTTTAAAATTATAAAGTATTATAGTTAGTTATTAGTAGTATCATATAATGATTTGATTAATGCTAAAAAAGAGCGTTTCTAATTATTTTTGTTACCATATTATCTCAAAAGACTGTTTAATTATATTAAAAAAAATAATTATTTGTTGCGGTTACATACGTACTTAATTCGATTTTAATAACAAGCGAAAAATTAAAAAACTATAACGTTTTTATTTTTGTTGCAAAAAATATTATTTCAGAGGTGTCCGGGGAAAAACCCATTTTCGCCCAAATGTCCGGAATTTTTGCTGTGTTTATCTGGCGTCGGCAAGTTAGGTGATGGCATTTAAATTTATTTCTCCGATTTATATGTAACCCGCATTGTTGTTAGTTTGGAGAATTGCATCCTTAGTTTTATCTGTAGATTGTTTATGTTCTTTGCAACCATAACGGGGTACGGGTAGCGTATTGTAGATCACACGGTGTTACAAAGAATGTTGTAAATACTGCTTCTTGATTGGTTACATAAATTTCCGCCATCGTCTCCGCTTATGCGCCTTGATCATCTGTCACGTCAATACAACTTTAGTGTCTTTTGAATAATTATTAATAAAAATAACAACAAAATACTATTTAAACAATACCAACAAAGACTAAACAACAAAACAAACAGATGAAGAAAATAAAATGCAATAGCCAAAACACAAATAAATAACAACAATAACAATGTAGAACACAAAAAGATAACTTACTAAATGTACAAATTGACGAACGTAGAGAATACAAATGAATGAATCAATAAAGATTTTAAAAGTGTGTATAGTAGAAAAATGTTAGTAAAAAGAGACAGAATATTCAAGATCGAAAAAGACTGGCATTAAGTGTTGAAACCACGAGTTTACAGAAATACGTAGAATTGAAGAGGTTGAATAGTATAGAATTTGAGGTAAGGTAATCAGGGGAAAAACCGGCTATTATTAAGGAGTGCATTCAGAAACGGATGAAGTTGGATTTCAAGGTAAAGGTGACTAGGGACAATAGAACAGAGATAGAAAGAAAACAAGGGCATGCAAAAGATAAGAAGTTGAAATCTAAATTGAAGAAATATTTGAGGTTCTAAGAGAAGTAAATTTAGAAAAAAAATATATATACAAAATATTTAAACAATAGAGTTCTTTCGCTACAGTACCACCTGCTAGTAACAGAACGTTATGGGAAATCTGCCTGTAGGCCATCAGCGAAACGAACTCGCCTTCCAACCCTAGTTGTTTGGCTGGTAATGGTCAGCTCTCTGGAGGTCAGCTGTTGCATTTGAACGCTTGCAGGTAAGTCTTCGTTTCTTGAAGTGGCCGGTGGTTCTGCAATGACGTAGGCCGGTTTAAAATGATCGACTGATACACTGTTACGACTTTGGCCTTTGGCGTTGACGACGAAGGTTTTGTCCGCTCGTTGAACGACAGGATAAGGACTTTCATAGAGTTGCTGTAGCGTTTCCTTCGGGTCACCGCGCGAATAAAAACCTGATTAAAAGATGAAGGTTCTTTTATTCCCATAGCGTCGTTCTTGAGTCAGTCGTAATTGTTCGGAGGCGTCCTCGTGGGTATTAAAATCGGGATTTGATCCTAAAAATTCGCCAGGAAGTTGTAACGTCTCCCTGTACAATAGCTCTGCTGTGGTAGCTTGCACGTTCTCTTTTCAGGCAGAACGGTTCCCTAATAGCTTGGTCGGCAGAGTTCGCGTCCAGGAATTGCTCCGGTGACACGCTATGACTGCTTTTAGCTGTCTGTGGAGTAGTTCTACTATGCCGTTGGCTAAGGGATGGTAAGCTATGGTTAGAAGATGAGTCGTACCTAATAAACGGTTTAACTGCCTAAAAACGTACGACTCGAATGTTCTGGTCAGTAGTGACACTTAACGGACTCCCAAATCTTGCGATCCCAATAAAATGTAACATTTCGTCACAACTTTGACGGTTGCGTTAATTCCCGAGTGTGATAGCGTAGCTTACGATAGGGACTTTGCGAGCTTCGAATGTCTGCGCAGCTTCCGGTGTCCAAGTTACTGGGTGGTTTCCCTTAACGTTCCCTTGTAGAAGGTCATTAAGTGGCGCTTGTATTTCCGCCGTCTCCGGACGAACCTTCGATAGAAATTTACCATGCCAAGAAATTGACGAAGCTTCTTGACGGTCTGCGGGAGCAGAAAGGATCGAATAGCATCCACTTTTTCAGGCAACGGATGTGTGCCGGTTCCGAAAACACGGTAGCCAAGAAATTTGACTTGTAGTTCGCCAAGTATGCACTTGGATGGATTAATCCATATTTTTGTAGTCTCCCGAATAGAATCCGCAGGTGGTCCAGATGTTCTTCCAATGACACAGAAGCAACAAGAATGTCGCCTATGTAGGCATAGCAAAATTCTAGGCCTTGCAAAACTTCATCAATGAAGCGCTGGATGGTTTGGATTGTCTATAGTTGAGAATACTGACTTTATGCTGATCGTCTGCGAAAAGTACTGAATGTGCTTGACCGATATCGATCAGGGAACGTCCTGGCGTTGAGGGCACGATAATCGCCACAGGGTCTCCATACGTCGCCTGTTTTAGGGACCATGTGCAGCGGTGATGCCCAGGAACTCTTGGAGGGACGAGCGATGCCCAACTTGACCATGGTCTTGAATTCCTATTTCGCAGCACATAACTTGTCTGGAGCGAGTCGTCGTGGTCGTTGCGCTATGTGATGCTTCGTGGAATAGTTCGTAAATACAGGAGTGCCACATGGTCGAGTTATTGCAGGTTCGATACATTTCCTTGCATTACTGCCGAAGCGGAGATGGAACCAGCAAATGTCCTTTGTCTCCCTTGGTCGCGAATTCTAACGCGAGCGCGATTTCGGCCGGAAACGCCGAGGCTGTTGTGGTGGTTCAAGTTTGATTTTTAGGGAATCTAATGTCGGCGATATCTGCTCTCTTTTCCAATGGTAGATCTTTATGTGCAGCTAATAAGACCTGGATATATTTGAGAAGGCGTGTTAACCAGAGGGTTTGTGAAAATTATTCGGGAATTCAGAATAGAAGGTGGCAGGACCTTCTGAAATGGTTGTTTGGTTTAGGGTCGAAGTCTGCAAGTTTCGAAATGGACGAGTTTGGGTAACCTAACACTGAGGCCCAGAAGATTAGTCTCGAACCTAACCGCAGCCCCGGGGAGTGAAGGTAGATCAGTTTCTTTCAGAATTTGGATGTTTCTGATGAACTAGGGATAGTAAAAAAAAGCAATAGAGTTCTGTCGTCACATAACCATAATATACGCTCTAAAAGAATACAAACTGGATTGTTAGGAATGGAGTTTAAGTCCGTTAAGGTAAGTTTTGTTTTGAGATATAATGTAGTAATTTTATTATATTTTTTTATTATTTTAAATTAGAATTTCGTAAGTGTTTTGTTTGCTAACATGCTGCAACAAACAAAAAAAAGAGCGTTCTGAAAGAAATACTGGTTGTAAATCAACTGTTGATATTAAAATTAAAAAGTGTAATAGAGCAACACGAAGGAATGACGCATTTTTAAAAGAAGATCCACCTTTGGCAGAGATGATTGTTAAGATGAATATTACCCATAACCATGCAGTCAATACTTGTGAGTCCTTAAAATTATTATGAATGGACGATGAAACCAGGAGTAGTGAATAGTCTGCGTAGAATTAGTGTAATATGGAGAGCAAATCATTAGGACCAATATCGTAGGCGGCAGTGAAATCAGTTTTACTAGTTAACCCGAGAACGAGCCGAGAAGCATATCGGTTACTCTCTACTCGCTTTCGCTCTTGCTTGTGCACATCTCGCGGCTTCAGATTCCTTAATTGATATGTACTGCGAAATAATATTACATTGAATCATCTGAAATCTTCAAAAGATACCGAGTTTTTACCGACTAAAACCCCTCCTCGAGTGGGAAGATAAACCCTGAAGGTTACCAATCCCCTAGAAGAGAGTTGAAGGTTGGAATTTGGGAGAGGGTTGAGAAAAAAAAAATGGTTAAGCATGGGGGATCCGAGGGGGGGGAGAACCGTCGGAGTATGTGGTGGGGTTTGCGTGGCCTGGCACTGACGCCCGGAGAATTGCTGCGAATGAGATTGCAGACTCAGGGAGAGAAGGTAAACCGGATCCGCATGTAAGTGCCTTGAAGAGGTTTAAAGCGGTGAGGAAGGACGCAGCTCTAGATGGGAATGACGTAGGAGCAAATACTCCTGATTATTGCGTTAAGCACACGGATTTTCGTATGTTGGGCGATGGAGCGGTTTCGGAAGAAAGGCTTGAGTGCGATGAATGCATCCATCCAGTTTAGGGTCCTATCGAAAACGACGCCTAGGTAGGTAACAGAGTTGTTCCACTTGATGGGACGATTGTTTACTAAAATGGGGGGAGGTTTTCGGGACCTACGAGAAGAAAATTGCTCCGCTTTGGTCTCGTTAATGGAAAGTTTCCATTTTCGGTATAAGTTTAGGAGCAGGGGCAGAAACCTATTAATTCTCCCTGTGCATTGGAGAATGGTTTGGGCTTAGTTTATGAGGGCAATGTTGTCTGCGTAGAGAGCTGTCAAAATAGAAGTGTCAGAGGTTAAATAGAATAGGTGATAGTTTGGAGCCTTGTGGGACACCGGCAGTAACGGGTTTACTGGCAGAGAGAACAGAGCCGACGCGTACCCGAAGGCTTCTGTCGGTGAAAAAGGACCTGATAACCCCAACTAGAAAATGCGGAATGTTAAGGGTGATGAATTTTGAGATAAGGCCTCCGTGCCAGACTCGAATGAACGCTTGTTGGATGTCAAGAAGAAGCATGGAGGTGTGACGCCGCTTGTTAAGGTTGTTGGAAATGTATTCGGATACGCGAAGAAGTTGGTGGCCTGTGCCATGATGCCTGCGGAAACCGTGTTAAAAATCGGGGAGAAGGTTGTTCCACGTGGTCTAAGAGCCGATTGAGAATGATTGATTCAACTACTTTGCTCAACGAACGAAGTAGGCTGATGGTCCTGTAGCTTGAGGGAGAGCTGAGAGGCTTCCCTTTTTTGGGGAGACAGATGACAGTGACTTCTTTCCTGTGAGGTTGAAGTCAAAAATTTTGGCCATAAGGGAGGTGCCTTTACTATTAGTTTGTCTACAGCCCCAAGAGACGTGTTTAGCGTTGAAGTCGCCGGCGACGATAGTTGATGCACCCGGGGGGAATAGAAGGGGGAGTTCAGAAATGTCTCTGTCCGAAGGTGGGAGTAAAGAGGGCCGAAAGTTAATGGAACTTCGATGCCGACTGTTTCTAACGAGTCTGTGGCCAAGAGATAGGCCTGTGCTTTAAAGAATTCATAACACCGCCGGCACTGCGGTTTTCACGGTACCTTCTGTAGGATGAGAGACTAATGCGTCGAAAGTTTTATGAAAGAACTGAAAACTCAATATAAGTCGGTTCGTCAAATTTATGTAATAAGGGAATGTATAATTTGTACTGACCTTTAGTTTTTCCATGGGCCGTTTTGACTTCGAAAGGTTCTTCGTATAAATAATCAGAAAAATATTTGAAAGTCAAGGAATTCATGATAAAATCAGAAGCTCCACTATCGATTAAAATTTTGCAGTCGTATTCGTTTGAATGTATGTATGGTAGTCTAGGTGTTTTAACGAAAGCATTATTAATTTTTTCAAAATGTCTTTCAAAAATGTTCTATGTAATTTTGTCTATTGATGTCTGTGAACGAAAATTTTCATTTTCATTTTCTTGGGTGGTATTTTCATCTGAAAAGGTCAGGTCTGTAGGAGGGGTATTGTTATCAAAAGGCTGTATAGGTAGATAAGCGTTTCCGTACTCATCAGAAACGTACGGGTCTTGTTCAACATTAGTTAATTTTTTAACTAGGAAATTGGGTTTTTGCTGGTTTTGGAAATTGTTAGGTCTTTGATTTTGAGAGTTATTTATTCGTCTAAATTGGGAAACAGTTGAGTCATAGACATATATTAATGTCGTTGTAGTAATTTCTTGTCTCGAAAAGTGAGGGAGATGGCGTATAGTTTCGGACTAGTGCTACCTCTTTCATTACACGTCTACGCACTATCGTAAGAGAGATGAATATTGCCCGAAACTTCGTTCCATCTCTTTCTTTAGTTGTACCACAATTCTGACCACTAAGCATGTCCAATAATAAACGTCGATGACTTGAGTATTATTTTATCTATGGTATTATTTTAATGTGTATTGCCAGAGAAGAGAGACGTATATAGAAATACAATGCCGTGTTTCATTTGCGGATCACCCCAGATCACCCCAAGCCGGCAGGTTCCCACCCCAGCCACCAAGTGGCGACACTGCGCCCGCAAGCTTCGATACCCCAACGCTTGGTGGCGACAATGTCATTGCATTAGCCGCGCCTATTTTACTAAAGAAGGATGCGCACGCATAGAAAATAAGTTTGGCGGCAGAAAAAATCATCTTGAATTTTTAGATTTTCTGAGATTCTTGGAAAGTTAACACTTCGAGCGAAATAATTCGAGCGAAAACTTATTATCTTTTTTAATTTGTTTAATTACATTAACAGTGCATAAAATTTGTGTTGTTTTTTTGCGAGTGTGTTCAGTGTATAAATTATTGTGCATTGTAATCGTAAAAATGCCATCTACAAATATTTGTGCATTTTTAAAATGTAAAAATACATCAACGAGAATGCCACATCTCTCGTTTCACCGTTTTCCAAAAAATGAAAGGTAAGCATTTTCAGTTAATTTTTGTTTTCAAAATTATTGTTACATTATTACTATTACTATGATTATTATCACTGATAAAGGTAATTTTATACTTTCGCGGTCCCCTCGTTTTTTGGCTCTAGAAAATCGAAAAATCATCCGATTTCGATGAATTTTGTTTTAAAATCTTTGTTTTTACGGCGGATTTATAAAAAAAAAATACGGGAAATATCTCACCTGGAGATTTCATATAGTTTTATGAATTTAAATGTGATCATAAACGCAGTTCTTCGCATATAATCGTTTATAACTTTCTTACAAAGCATCAAACGCAGTTCATATATTTTTTTTTGTTGATCTACATAAAAAAACGAACATTTTGGAAAAAGAAAAATTAAAAAATGTTTGTTTATTGAAAGGTCAATTTTAAGAAAAATTGTTATTATTTTTAATTGTAAAAACATGATAAATCAACATTTTTATATATTTTTTTTTTATTTGTTCGTTTTTTTGTGTAGATTATGAAAAAAAAATAACAACTTCATTTGATTACTTGGAAAAAAGTTATCAACAATTATACATGAATGAGTGCATTTTCATGAACATTTAAAGCCATGAAACCAATATAAGTTTTCATTTTTTTTTATTTCCATATTTTTTTTCATAAATCCGCCGTAAAAATAAACATTTAAAAAAAAATTAATCGAAATCGGATGATTTTTCGATTTTCTAGAGCCAAAAAAGAGGGGACCGCGAAAGTATAAAATTACCCTGATATATTTTTATTATGATTATTAAAATTTACTTAGATTTTTAGTAATTGCTATAACTTGATTATATGCTTTATAAAAACAGATACACTAAAAGTATTATTGGTATTAGTATGCAAAAATTCAAAATTGCACTTAAATCATTTAAAATAAAAATTTTGATCGGCTGTAAAAAAATTAATCACCGTTGAGTTATTTCCAACTATCGGGGATTCTTTCTGTGAAGTTTATTTTAAACTACAGTAATATAACCAGGCATTACAAAATTGATTCCGTATAATTTTACTATAAATGTGACTGTTTATCAAAGTTTGCAATTCTAATAAGTCAATGGAAAAATTGAAATTAGATTTAGAAATAATTATAAATGAATAATGCTTTTATTTTCGTCAATGGCCCTAATATTTCATTTTATCGTTTTTTAGCCTTGCAACTGAGTGGATCCTTCGGAGCGGCAATGATAAATTATTCGATCTGGGGCCAAAACAACTTCACGAAAAAAGATTGTGTGCAGAGCATTTTGATGAAAGTTGTTTTTCTGGAGATCCAAATGGACGCAAGCGAAGATTATTAAGTAATGCTTTGCCAATATTTTTTTTGCATGATAGTAATGATAGCATAAATAACCAAATTCATGCAACAAACTGCATGTCTATTTCACCATCATGTGAATTGCATGACATCAATACTTACAATACTCCTATTTCGTCCGGTTCTTCGATAAACGATTTAAGTCCGCCTGTGTATTCCCATACAACAAATTCTAGGACTAATAATAATTATAGAAGTAATTATTTACTAAAAAAGAAAATAAATATATTACAGAAAAAATTAGATAATGCACGAAAAGTTATTAAAAATATGAAACGAGCTAAAACCGCCAAAAAATCTCGGACTGTAACCGTTAAAACTGTTTTAGAAGATGCCGCGAAGTTTTTAAATAAAAATCAATTATTGATTTTAAAAATGCAATTGGTTCGAGTTTTAAAAAAAAAAACGGAGTGGACTCCGTCCGAACAACGTTTTGCCACGTCTTTATATTATATTTCACCAAAAGCGTACAATTTTCTTCGCGATGAAAAAAACATTACTCTCCCGTGTGTTGGATCCATTCGCCAATGGATCAATAATCTCGAAATGATGACAGGTTTCAATGACCGTTTATTTAGTATAATTCGGGATAAAGCAAAAGGTATGTCTCCTGATGAATGTGACGCGGTTTTAACTTGGGACGAGATGAGCATTAAAGAACATTTAGAATTCAATTCGAAAATCGATTTTATTGAAGGTCTCGAGGACCTCGGTGAGTTAGGAAGAAAGAATAAAAATGGTAAATACGCATTAGTTTTTATGATCCGTGGTTTAAAATTTCCATGGAAATTACCAATTGCATATTTTATTTCGCGTCAAAATATTACAGGTTCCACGTTAGCCAATTTAATTAAGTTATCCGTTAAAAAGTGTTTTGAAGTCGGGATTAGAATTCGATCGACAGTATGCGACCAGGCATCTA